GTGCACGCTTCAATTTGTCAGTGTTCTGGGTTGGTAAAGGTTCGGGTTAAGGTGTCTGGATTGGGTTCAGGTGTTTGGGCTCTAACGGATGTAGGGGTCTGGAGCCGAGCCTCGGCCTTGGGCCTGCAGGGCTCTGGAACTAGGGCCCGGGCCAAGGGCTCCGGATCCCACGCCCCGGGCCCCAGGCCCCGGATTCCGGGCTCCCGGGCTCCCGGGCTCCCGGTCCCGGGCCCCGGGCCCCGGGCCCCGGGCCCCGGGCCTCGCGAGCTCCGGGCCGCAGGGCCGACGGGCCCCGGGCCCCGCCCGGGCCCCGGCGACTATTCCCCTTTACTTCCTCCCTCCACTCTCCTTCTCCTGCTCCTTCTCCTTCCCCACCCGCGACCGCGATGGCGACGGCGACGACGGCGCCGGAGACGACGTCGACGCCGGGATTGCGCCCCTGCGATGAGAGTGGGTGAAGATGCAGCTCATGAGGAAGTTGACTAGACATGTAGCGCACGCGCGTAGCGCGCGCGTAGCTATATATATATATATATATATATATATATATATATGCATGCATACATTTAAATATTTATATATATGTATATATATGTATACATGTATATATATGTATGTAATTGTGTGTAAGTGTGCATGTAAGTGTTTGTGAGTGTTTGTAAGTGTGTGTGTGTAAGTGTGTGTAAGTGTGTGTGGAAGTGTGTGTGGAAGCGTGTGTGTGTGTGTGTTGTGCGTGTGCGTGTGCGTTTACGTGCGCGTTTACGTGCGCGTGCGTGTGCGTGTGCGTGTGCGTGTGCGTGTGCGTGTGCGTGTGCGTGTGCGTGTGTGCGTGTGCGTGCGCGTGCGCGTGCGCGTGCGCGTGCGCGTGCGCGTGCGCGTGCGCGTTGCTTGTGCTTGTGCTTGTGCTTGTGATTGTGCTTGTGTTTGTGCTTGTGCTTGTGTTTGTGTTTGTGCTTGTGCTTGTGCTTGTGCTTGTGCTCGAGCTTGTGGTTGGGTTTTGGTTTGGGTTTGCGTTTGCGTTTGCGTTTGCGCTTGCACTTTGCGCTTGCGTGTGCGTGTGCGGTTGCGTTTGTGCTTGTGCTTGTGCGTGTGCTTGTGCTTGTGATTGTGCTTGTGCTCGTGTTTGTGTTTGTGTTTGTGTGTTGTACTTGTGTGTGTTAATGTTTGTGATTGTGTTTGTGCTTGTGGTTGTGCTTGTGCTTGTGTGCTTGTGTTTGTGCTTGTGCTTGTGTTTGTGTTTGTGATAATGATTGTGCTTCTGTGCTTCTGTGCGTGTGCGTGTGCGTGTGCGTGTGCGTGTGCGTGCGTGTGTAGGGGTGTATTTGTGCGTGTGTGTGTGCATCCCCACGCGCGGGGCCGGGGCGCCCGGGGCCCGGGCCCCGACGGCGCACGGCGGACCCAGGGTGTTCGGGGACGCCCCGGCAAGGACCAAAAGACAGAGCACGAGGGACACAGACGGCATCCAAGCGGCCCAACAGGGCCCTTTTCTCCTTCCTCCTCCTCCTCCTCCTCCTCCTCCTCCAAACGGCCTCCAAACGGCCTCCACACGGCCCTTTTCTCCTTCCTCCTCCTCCTCCTCCTCCTTCTCATTCTTCCTCCTCCTCCTCCTCCTCCACAGGGCCCAGAGTCGCCGAGTTGCTCCGCTTCTCTTGTTTCTGAACTGGAAAGCGCCGAATACGGCCCGAAGACAGTTCAAGCAGCACCCAAGACGGCCCAAAAGGCGCCCAAGAGGACCTCCAACAGGGCCTGAAGAGGCAACAATGACCCCATTCTCTATTGAAAACGCCCAAGGCGGCCCACGAGGGTTCCGGCCCAAGAGGGCCCCAGGCAATCCCCCAAGAAACCCTAAGAAAACCCAAGAGGGCCCCAAGGGGGGGCCCAGAGAGGGTACCCGAATCTACATTTCGAGCCTTCGGCCCCAAGGCGGAATGAACACTGCGTTTCAACAACAAAAAACCATAACGCACCCAGAAGGCCACCAGAGGCCTTCGAAAGAGCCCGAGTGGCCCCAAGAAGCCCCCAACAGGCCTCCAAGCTGCCTGCTCCAGGCCACCCCAAAAGACCTCCCCCAGAGGCCCACGGAGTTCCCCAAGAGCTACGCGGCTGGCGATGGTTAGAGAGGTTTGCTTGGTCGGGTAGACTTGTGCGCTCTCGCATGCTGACGTATGGCACAGGCAGGCGCAGCGTTGCCGTTTTCAAGGCCGAGGATGTTGGCGCATGGCGCAGGCAGGCCCAGTGTTTTGTTTTCAATCCCGAAGATCTCTCCATGACCAGCTGCCCTAATTAAATCGGCCGCCGTTTGCAGTGGTACGGTGCAATATCCTGCGCACTGCCACGGCAGCGAGGAACCACCTCTCGAGCGACTCTGCAGTTGCGTTTGGCTCCGTGAACACGAGCGCCGCGACCCAGCCAGACGCCGCGTAGACTTTATGCACTCACGCCCAGGCGGCCCCAACGCCCAGGTGTCTCTCTCGTTAACTTCTTCTGTCCCTCCTCTCTCTGCCGTTCTCTCCCTTCCCTCTCTCTCTCTCTCTCCTTCTCTCTCCTCTCCTTCGTGGCTCGGTCTCTCTTGTTGGTCTCTCACTCTCTCTCTCTCTCTCTCTCTCGCGGTATCTCGTTTCCTCTTTCTCTATCTCTATTCCCCCCGTGTTTTACACACCTCTCTCTCTCTCTCTCCTTCGTGCCTATCTCTCTCTCTCTCTCTCTTTCTCACTCTCCTTTTTCTCTCTTTCAATGTGTCTCTTTCACGCCATCGTAGTGTTGGCTCTCTGTCTCTCTCTCTCTCTTTCTCTCTCGGTGTCTCTCCTTCGTTTTCCCCACCCGGCAAGTTGGGGGCTAGAGTGTAAGCACAAACCTTCTGCGCCTAAGAGCATGACATAACAGAGCATGACAGCATAGAGCAGGACGGAACGGAACATGCCAAACCATGACATACCATACCAGGACAGCACACAGCATAACATACCATGACATAACAGGACACGCCAGAACAGAGCATACCACAACCTAACATATTCTGCAGAGCATCACACACCATTTGTTTGACAGAAAGGAGTAGCACATACCAGAACATGACAGAGCAAGCCATGAGATAAATTGACCGACATGAGCATTACATGTACGTTACAGACACGAGCATTGCGTACATCTGAATACATCGTGTTCTGTATAGAAGCTCTGTTTTGACAGATCGTGTTCCGTATGGATATTTATACCGTTCTCACCCGTACGTGGTCACCCAGGTCCATAATCGGTTAAGTTACGTGCATTTGGTGCGCCCATGCAGCGTAACTTACCTCTCCACTGTACTTCTGTGTGCATTCTCAGCGCGCGTTTGGCGCGGTTCGCGGTTGGCGCGCGCTTGGCGCGTCGATTGTTTCGTTGTCTGCTAATTGACTTTCCCCCTGGTTGTCAGAGGGTGCAGCAAAATTGTGGGCTATGTTGCGCCATGCTGAATTTTATAGTGGACTATTGTTGACCAAGTTGAACCCGTCCCTGCGAGAATCGTGGACGCTCCAGCCCCTCACGAGTGGTTTCCATGACCACGGGGAGACAGGGATGATGAAGAAGAGATTATGTTGGAAGAGGCGGCACCCTAAACTACCCCTGCCCAGAGGGCTGGTGGGATTTGTCGTTGTCGTGCTTGTCTCATTGATGGTTTGTTCATGCATCCGGCTGTCAAATGTTTGCCATCTTGGCGCCCATTTTGTTGTTGCCCGTCAGTGCAAGCCCGTCGCCTTGTTCCATCTCTGCACGAGGGTCACGACCCAGCACAGCCAACACACGTGTGTTTTTGGACGAAAGAAGGGAGTCAGTGGTAGCATTCCATGGGGGACATCTACGGGCTTGTTGAGGTGGGCGTTTCAGCTACCCCAAAAGACCTCCCCCACAGGCCCAAGGAGTTCCAGGAGAGACATTCGGTCGCTCCCTGGAGGTCGGGATGCTGGGGCGTGGTGAGGGCGTGCTTGAATGACTCTGGCTGTGTCCTTCTTAGTTTCAACGCACGCAGGAGGTTCTACATAACTTAGATGCAGCGCCCCATGACTTATATCATACTTCAGCAGGTTGTACTATACGTTGTGCACCTTCGTGGCAGTGGCTGGGTCTCGATCTAAGAGCGAGGGTGGCATCTTTTGGCCAGTGGGGCTGAGCAGGCGTCGGATGATCTCAGAGCTCCACGAGACGACTTGGCGCCAGTGTCTTTCGGTGAGGGTGAGCCCCGTGCAGCGGAGACGCCAGAAGTCGGAGAGCCACGAGTCGAACAGAGAAACCTGAATACTGACATGCAGATGATGAATATATTTGGAAATGTCAAGGACGGAGTGTGAAACAAACGAAGCGAATAGAGAACGACGTGCATGTTTGTTGACGATCTATGTGGGGCGATTCGTCGCTCGTTCTCGCCTTGACAGGCACATGTGCGGTCAGTCGGTTGTCTTCGGGCGCCTTGACCCCGTTAACGTTGACCTTGCTAACAAGGTCGTCTCGTATCGATCCCCAGGAGAAATGTGAATCCGCGCGCCAGGGAATGGATTCCAGCACCGATCCAAGCAACCCGCGCGGACCTCCGAAAGTTTGTTTGGGCGTGTACACATATCAGCGGCGAAATCCGAACCCCACCTTTGCCTATCAACGATTCAGGCCACTCGATGGGCGGTACCTTCGCCGATCAACGATTCAGGCAATTCGATGTGCGGCTCGGATACGTTGGGAATTCGTCGAATACGCTGGTGTGGGTAGGATTCTGATGTCGCCGCGTACACACCAGCGGCGAGCGAGGGAGAGATGGGCCTCGTTCCTTATGAGGGCTTCTTCGGTGAACGCCCCGACGGTACCGAGAGATCCGACGCTCCAAAAATGTTGATGCGGGCGGTTGTTGGTCGTGTTCGGCCTCCTGGGTCCCTCGCCAGGCCTCGGGACTGTCAAGAAAGAACTCAGAACGAAACACCGTTCCCTGGGAAGTGGTCCAGACCTCCGGGGCCAACGCATCAACAAATATGGAGCAGCCGGGTGTCTGGGTAAACGCCAGTCGTTGAAAGTAGGCACTTTCTTTGGATCCCAGATCCCAATCTGCTCTAGCCACCTACCTACTTCAAGAGTCGAGCGGTTCTCCCACTTCCTCCCATTCAGGGGGCGGGCGGAAGCTCCATGTATTGCCAACGCCGTTCTGTCAATGTTTCTGGCCACTTCTTGCAACCGACGGGCACATGTAACCCCTGAGGGTCTTCGATACCCCCCTGGGCATGCTACAACTAGGGAGTGTATATTCCCCGCCGAGAGTTTAGGGGGGGTCCATAACATGAAAGACCCTTCGCGGTCATCCAGGGGCTCCGATGGTCCATGTCTTCGGCGAGGCTCCCAGGCGTATGCGTGGACTGCCCGCTCAGGGCCACTCGCCCCCATGGCCGCCGCCGATGCCCTGCGCTGCCCCGCGAGGGCATCGTGTCCAACGGGGACGCCACCGGGCCGAAGGAGCGCGCCGTGCTGGCGCGGCAGCTGGGCCACGACGGCGCCGAGTTCACGAGCTGGCGGGGCGTCCCGCTCGCGCTGGCTCCCCAGATCTCCGACGATATGCGTTTGTACATACACATGCACATGCACATGCACATGCACATGCACATGCTCATGCACATACACATACACATACACATACATACACGTACGTACGTACGTACGTACGTACGTACGTGCATACATACATACATACATACATACATACATACATACATACATACATACATACATACATACATACATACATACGTTCTGGGCGCTTCTCCTCGAATGCGGCCTCAGGTCCCGTCAACGTCGGTTGGCGTCTGTCGGCGTCGGCTCGCAGGAGCCAGCGAGAGGACGTGGGAGATCCTCATGAGTTGCCACAGGCGAGGCAGCCGTCAGGGGCAGCCATAGGTTCAAGGATAGAGGTTCCCCGATCTCCGACGATACTGTTTGCTCAATCTGGGCGTGTTTTGCCTCGAGCTCGGCCTCTGGGGCCCCTGAATGGGCCCCGGGTCCATCAGAAATGCACCCGAGGGGGAGAATATCCCCCAGCGAAGCGGTCGGGATCTCTGGGGCCCCCGGGTGAAAGGATCATGTCGGCGGGTGCCAAGGTCGTCGTCTTTCGTCGTGGCCGTCGTCGCCGTCGTCGTCGTCGTCGTGGCCGTCGTCGTCGCGTCGTCGTCGCCATTGTCGCCGTCGTCACCGCCGTCGTCGCCGTCGCTTTGGAGGTCTGCGGTCGCTTCTGGGGGGTCCGCGTCGCCACGGCCGGGCGCAGCTCGAGAAGCCGGGCCTCGGGGAGGGGTCCGCAGACTTCTTTGGGTGGAGTCTTGGGCGCCGTAACCCTTTCGACTGAAGTCGAACTCGCGGCGAAGGCTACATATGATCAGCCAAGCGTGAATGCCTCCAGTCACTACGCCGCTGTCTGTGTTCCATAGCCTTTGGCTTCAGTTTTTCTGGGTGTATGCTCGACCCAGACCTCCAGGCCCTGTACGCTGCCGCGATAGCAGGGCTGCCGGGCTGGGCTGCCCTCGTCTGGCAGGCCGTGCGAGGGCCTGGACAGTCCGCCTCTTCTGAGGGCGGAGGAGGCTATCCAGGACACGAGGAGGAGTGTCCAGAGGTGATCTGCGAGTGCCCTGAGGTGGTCTGCCCGAGGCCCGAGTGCCCCGAGACCGACTGCCCGATCGTGGAGTGTCCGTCGGTCCCCGACTTCAGGGAAGTGTACCCCTTGCTGGAGGAGGGCATCTTCGCCATCCTCTTCCTGCCGCTGCTGGTTGCCACAGCCGCGGGAGTGCTGCTGGGGTGCTGGTGTGCCAAGAGGACGCGGAGCCAGAGAGGTGCGAACGGTTAGCACGTCAGCCCGTCCGAGTCGGACGAGAAGCGGCGGCAGCTCGCCGCTGAGCAGGTGGCGGCCGTGCGCGCCCGTCGAGAGTCTGGGCGCCACACACATCAGTGAGTATGGCAGCCAGGGGAGACTATATCCTCATCAAGTACAACGGGGTAGACGAGGACTTTTATCATGAGACCTTGATCACGGGGGTCATTTCAGAGGATCCCACTGAGGTTACCCTGTACACCGCCGATCAGGATCACTATCAGTTCAACATAGCGCCTGGGGATGATGTAGAGGCGGTGTATTGGATCGGGCTGCCAGGAGGTCGCCCCGCTCACGTGCCTGAGAATCAGATCTATCGGTTCCGCCACAACGTGCCGCCCAATGAGCGCCAGAGACTCTTCGCGGAGGCGCAGGGCATGCTGGGAGCAGCGCCGGCGCCTCCACCCGCCCCTCTGGCGGCCCCGATGCGGAACGTGCAGAGGCAGGGTCTAGGCCGTCCCGCCGGAGCGGCCGCCAGACGCGCCGAGCCCGGCCGCGTGTGGGTCTTCGCCGAGGACCATGGCCGCCACCAGAAGGGCGACAGCGTGGAGGAGCTCCCCGCGGGGTCAGTGGTGCTGGGAGAGAGGGCGGTCGTCCCCATGGCGGACGGCAGCACGGCGTTCTTGCAGATGATCCCCCAGGACGGCATTGATGAGTTCAAGATGGACGATCTCAGGGTGATGCCCGTGAAGTTCGACGGCATGGGGCGGCGCAGGAGGCTCTTCCAGGATGGCGTCGCCAGCTTCGTGCCCGACGAGCCCGAAGGGGGCTTGGGGCTTGAGGGCCCCCGCACAGTGTCCTGGAGATGCCAGACCTACGTCGAGAGGTCCCAGACGCCGGTGTCTCAGCATGCGTCGTGGAGGGCGACATCTGGAGTCTCGAGCGGGGACCGTAGCGTCTTCGAGCATGAGGTGCTCTCCGAGGTGCTCGAGAGCATGGTGTGCACGGACCAGCTGCACGCCCCCGCGCTGCGCAGTGCGGAGCTCGTCTGCAGGAGGCTCCAGCTGATCGAGAGCGCCCACTCCCTGAACCCGTCGGCTCCCGACTACTCGGCCGCCGACCAGCACATGGGATGGGGCCCCCGCCGTCAGGGCATGATGGTGGCCCCGCTGCTCCAGCAGCACGTGGCGACGGCCCTCCGCGACGAGCACCAGGTGGCCAAAGAGCAGAGGAAGGCTCGGGAGGAGCGTCGCCTGGGCCGCCAGAACAACAAGAACCACAAGGACAAGGCCCCAGAGGGCCAGGGGTGATGCGGCCCCCTCCGAGGGGCGACGGACCTAGCCCCTCGGCAGTGACACACCCAGGAGGTCCACAACTTTTTCCGCTCCCTCATGTTGTTGAGCAGTCGGCTACAGAGGGGCATCCCTCACGCTCGGTGCGAAGACGCCTGGCGAGGAGGAGGTTTTTGGACAGGGCTACCAACTCTGTCATCAGTTCCTTGAATGAGATGCAGGGCTGCGCCGGGGTGCACGACGGAACCCCCGCGATGGGCCAGATGCTGTCTCAGGATGCGATACGCTGTGACGTCGCGTCCACTCCGCCATCCCCGACCTTGTACACCAGACACGGGGCCGTCCGCGAGCTCTTGTCAGGCATCGTTGACTATGCAGGCAGCGATTGCAGCACCACGGTTCGTCCCTATCGGCGGGATCAGGTTTCTCTTCCAGATCCCGGGAGGCCCTCGGCGGATTTGCTGTCTACCCTCCCGGAGCCTGACCAGGATTTGCTGAAGTCATGGGATACTCATATGCTTGCTGACCCTGCTGATGTGGGGTTCTATCGAGAGTCGGGACATCAGTTTAGGTTGTACTTCGACGAGATTTTTAAAGCGCAGCGAGGTGTCTACGTTGAGTTTTTGAAAGACCTTAGCGACGCCAAGATGATTGGTTGGACAGAGAAGCCTCTGAGCCTGGTGACCCCTTTCTTCGTAGTAAAGAAGCACGACAGGTTACGACTCATCATGGATTGCAGGAACACGAACCCCCTCTTCCGAGCACCCCCTGCCCCTGAGATGGGCACGGCTGCAGCTTGGGGCAACCTGGAGCGTCCCGAGGCTCGTCCTGGAGCCGAGGCCGGCGGAGCTGACGCCAGCGGAAGTGGCGGAAGCAAACTCTGGGTCGCCCAGGCGGACGTGAAGGATTGTTTCCACTGCGTTCGCAATCTTCCAGAGCTGTGCCCGTACTTCTGCACGCCGCCGATCACGGAGGGAGAGAGAGCCGACGCTGGTATTGGTGGCCCAAGTGGCCTTGGGGATCTGGCTCGTGAAGTTTCGGTTTACCCAATGCTGCTGACTCTTCCAATGGGGTTCTCCTGGGCCTTCTATTTCGTCCAGCGCCTCGTGGAACACCAGTGCAGAGTTTCCTTGGCTGGGGCTGGCTTGGCTTTCAAGTTCCTGAGGGACCAGGCCCCTGCTCCGGATCTTGGGACCCAGTTGGCCGTTCTACCCTACTGCGACAACATCAATGTCGCGGGCATCAGGAGGGAGGAGGTGAAGGAGGCTAAGGATGTGATCGTTCGGAGGCTTCGATTCGTGCAGTTCACTGTCCATGAGGAGACCGAGCCCGAGACCCTGTCGTACTCGCTGGGTCGCGTTATCGATGGGGAGTCCTGGGTGGTTCGTAATCGGTCTGAACGAGGGGAGCGTCTTCGCAAGGTTTGCGAGGCTCTTGAGGGGGGTCAACCAGTGACGGGTAGGCAGATGAAGCAGTACCTTGGCCACGTGGTCGATTTCTTTCTGATTGGACGGGAGGCCCTCTCGGTGCTCAGAGCTTGCTACGATTTTGCGCAGGCGGCAGAGAAGAAGCCCCAGAGTTTATGGCCTTCTGCACGGCGCGAAGTTCGCTGGATACGTTCTCTCACTTTCATTGGCCTCGCTCGGCTGGACAGGCCTTGGCACGATACAGTTGTGTCGACTGACGCGTGCGAGTCTGGTGCAGGGATTGCTGCGCGCCGAGCAGACCCCTCAGAGGTGGCGTCCATAGGCCGAGTCCGCGAGAGATGGAGATATCGCTCTCGCCATCCCCTTCACTGTCGTCCTCGTCTGCATGCCCTGGGCGGGGGCCCTCTTCAAGACGTGGATACGGTCCTGCCAGTAACCCGACAGGCCCTTGGGGAGGCGCCTGAGGACCTGGAGGTCAACCCGGGGTTCGACGAGATCCCAGAGGCCTTCATGGACCCCGACAAGTGGCACGAGGTGTTTGCTATGCGTTTCAGGAAGGAGGAGGCTATACCTATTCTGGAAGGTCGGGCGTCTCTGTTGGGGATGCAGCATTATATGAGGTCGTCTCGGTCTTTTGGGAAGCGTCTTCTACTCGTGGGGGACCAGCTGGGGAACACTCTTGCTATTGGGCGCTCTCGGGCATCATCGTGCGACCTGCTCATCATCATCAGGCGTATTGCTACCTATATGTTGGCTACTGGCTCGAGTCTATCTGCACGGTGGACCCCCTCTGAGCTCAATGAGGTTGCCGACCGATCCTCCAGACGATGGGAGAGTGACGTCAGGGCTCCGAAGGGCCGCAGCGTCTCGGGCGCCCACCCGCCGCGCCAAGTGCAAGAAGACGGCTCTGGCGCGTCACGGGGAGGGCGTGACCTCACGACTCCAGCGGCACCACCGGGGTTCCACCCCAGCGAGGCCTGTGGGCTCGACGCCGCTGCGCCTCCAGCGCCAAGGAGCTGTGGAGCGCATCTCGGGACCCTCGAGAGAGAGCCGTCGGGAGAAGCGCCAGAGCATCTTCGGGGCCTTCGAGCGTCTTGCCTTGTCGGGCCAGCATTCCATTCTCGAACGTCACTCGATTACGGCACCCACGGAGGGCCTGTACACAGCCTGGTGGGAGGAGCTCCAGGATTTTGTGGCTATGAACGGCTGCACCTTGGACAGCGTGAGGAATGCCGACATTGCGCTGGTGGACTTCGCGGACTACTTGTTTCTCGAGGGGTTCGAGCGGCCCGACCTCATGAAGATGTACGCCGCGGCCGCCTGGCACCTGGCCGGCCTGTCCCCCATCGGGAAGCTGCGTTTCCCGCGGTTCTCCCGCGCAGCCCGGGGGCTGGGCCTGCTGGCGCCAGCGCAGACCGTGCCGCCCGTCCCTTTCGAGGTGGTGTGCTGGATCGCCTGGCACATATACCTCCGCCTCCAGGACTGGACCATCCCACTCTGCCTGCTGACCATGTTCGTCTGCTACTTCAGGCCCGTGGACGTCCACAGCCTGAGGGAGGAGGACCTGGTGCCGCCAGGAGGCTCGAGCAGTCACTGGGTGCTCAACGTGCACCCTGCCCGCCGCGGAGAGACGTCAAAGGTGGGGGTGTCCGACGAGGCGCTGCTCCTCGACTCTCCCTACCTCCCAGGTCTGGGCCCCGCGCTGCATCGGCGACGTCGCGGCCAACGGCTGGCCAAGCTGTTCGAGGTCAGCGAGAGGGAGCTCAGCATGCAGTGGGGCCGCTCGCAAGAGCAGCTCGGGCTGCTCCCATCCCAGCGGCGTCGCCTGTACCAGATCCGCCACGCGGGGCCGCCCCACGACATCCTCATGGGGGTCCGCACGCTCCTCGACGTCAAGCGCCGGGGGAGGTGGAGCTCGGACGCGACCGTCAAGCGGTGCGAGGCGGCGGGGGTGGTGCAGCAGGAGTGGGCCAAGCTGTCGACGGCACAACAGGCCGCCGCGTCTCGCGCGGCGGAGTGGATGCAGTCTCAGGTGGGCATGTTCTCCGACCCCAGCCCGGGCGGGCGCGGCGCTGGAGGACGCCGTGGCTCCTCCAGGAGCTGTACTGCGGCACGCACGGGATCCTCGACAGCGCGGGCCGCCAGGGCATCGGCGGCGTCGGCTGGGACACGGAAATCAGTTCAAAGGCCGACCTCTCGAGTGCGGCCGTCATCAGGAGCATCGCCCGCGACTTCAAAGCGGGCGAGAACCGCTTCGGGCTGAGTGGGGCGTTCGCAGCTCTCTGGGTTGGCATCGTTTGCTCGACCTGGACTCGTATTCGCGACCGCCCTCCTCTTCCCAGATTGCGTGACGATGACAAGTTCTTGTTGGGGTATCCACAGTATGAGCGTGATTGTGACAGAGAGGCTGTGCAGCTGGGAAATCTCATGGTAGAGTTATTGGTGAAGCTACTTTTGGAACTGTTACCTAAGAGAGTCGTCGTGGTCATAGAGAACCCACTGACACCCAGGCTCTGGCTTCATCCTGGCATCCTCCGTTTGAGGGCTGAGTTTTCTGACCACCAAGACGTGTTGCTGGATTAGTGTGCCTACGGCACTCCTTGGAAAAAGCCCACGAGGCCGCTGGTATGGCACTGCCCTGCGATGAAGGCGCTGGGCAAACGTTGTACAGGCACCAGAGGTGTTTGCGCCTTTTTCTCAGCAGCCTCATGCGACTCTGACCGGCAAGGTTCACGGAGTTTGGCGTACCAAGCAGACCCAGCAGTATCCGCAACGTTTTTGTGCAGCTTTTTCGCGGTGCTTGGCTCAGCATCTCAGACACAGTCCGCCTTTTTGTGCCCCCCCCCCACCCCCCCTTTCCTCCGTGCCCTGCCAGAACACTACATGATAGCGGATTCGGGAGACATTGATTATTGAATAATCTTTCTCTGCGCGCTGATTTGATTGTTGAAGTGCTGCCGGCATTCTCGGCCAGCTGCGAGCCTCGCCCAACCGACAGCTGCCAATAGACAATGTTTCTAACTTCTGGCGGAGACACGAAACAGGCATGATCAGCCAAGCGTGAATGCCTCCAGTCACTACGCCGCTGTCTGTGTTCCATAGCCTTTGGCTTCAGTTTTTCTGGGCCCACCATCCACCCCAACGCCTCCTGGGAGACATTGATTATTGAATAATCTTTCTCTGCGCGCTGATTTGATTGTTGAAGTGCTGCCGGCATTGTTCCCGGCCAGCTGCGAGCCTCGCCCAACCGACAGCTGCCAATAGACAATGTTCCTAACTTCTGGCGGAGACACGAAACAGGCATATATATATATATGTATATATATACACATATACATTTGTATATTATTACAGCGAGGTCTTTCAAGGCAACGACATGTTTGCCGCCAGTGAGCCCACTGCCGCAATCCCTCTGCACACCGCTTCGCCTCCACAGTTTCCATCAGAAGATGTCCTCCCTATCTTCCCGCTGCTGCTGCTCCTTTCCGCCGTTGCTGCTGCGGCTTCTTCACCACATCCCTCTCACGGATCGCTCCCCGCAGGAAGTTCCAATTACGGTCCCAGTAGTTACGCGCGCCCGCGTAGCGTCTCCGACGCATCGTGCCCTCCAATTGCTGTCTTGGTGGGCCGCCCGCATGGGATGTCGCCCCACCAATTTCACACGCAGACGCATGCATACACACACCCACACCTCACAAGGATTGTGCCCCATTCCCCAGGGTCCACGTCCTTTGGCTCTCGGTTGGGAGCGGCCTGTGGATGGCCCCCGCTCCAGCTCGTCACCTCGCCTTCCTGTCCCTGGCGCAGTTGCCGGGGAGCGTTTGTAGATGGTTCATCCTCCCCCTTCCATCGTCCGCCTTTTTCCCCCCTCCTCCCCCCTCCTCCACAATTATTCCATCTGAATGCTTCCACAGTCGAGTGGTTTCTTTATTGCTTGGGGCATAATGGGCATTATAGCCCCCGGCCCCCCCCCCTATAACGTAACGCCCCGCGCCCCCAGTGCGCTCCGGGCACTGCCGCCGTGCGCATCCGAATCTCCATCGGCGTCCGCATAGAAATCCGCACAGGAGCTTGGTCCGCATTGGGAATCTCGCGGGGACCCGCATAGGGAAGAGGAGGAGGACGAGGAGGAGGAGGAGGAGGAGGAGGTGGAGGTGGAGGTGGAGGTGGAGGTGGAGGGAGGAGGGAAAAACGTCGCATTATATTATCAGCACTTCTCTGGCGTGGCGTTTAGCTTTCCGCAGCAGATCCTCACCTGCATGCTCGTTCTACCTGTCCTCTGCACGCAGGCACTGTGGTGTACACCAGCGCTGCGTGCACGCGGATGCTGTGGTGTAGACAGGCACTTTGGTGTGCTCAGGCGCTGCGGTGCACGCAAGCATTCTGGTGTACACAGGCGCTGTGTTGCACATGGTTGCTGCGGTGTTACACATTGGCTGTGGCGTACACCGGCGCTGTGGTGCACGCAAGCACTGTGGTGTACACAGGCGCTGCGTCGCACACGGCCGTTGCGGTGTACGCAGGCACTGTGGTGTTCACGCGCGCTGTTGTGCACGCGAGCATTGTGGTGTAAACAGGCGCTGTGGTGTGCTCAGGCGCTGCGGTGCACGCAAGCATTCTGGTGTACACAGGCGCTGTGTTGCACATGGTTGCTGCGGTGTTACACATTGGCTGTGGCGTACACCGGCGCTGTGGTGCACGCAAGCACTGTGGTGTACACAGGCGCTGCGTCGCACACGGCCGTTGCGGTGTACGCAGGCACTGTGGTGTTCACGCGCGCTGTTGTGCACGCGAGCATTGTGGTGTAGACAGGCGCTGTGGTGTGCTCAGGCGCTGCGGTGCACGCAAACATTGTGGTGTACACAGGCGCTGTGTTGCACATGGTTGCTGCGGTGTTACACATTGGCTGTGGCGTACACCGGCGCTGTGGCGCTGTGGTGCACGCAAGCACTGTGGTGTACACAGGCGCTGCGTCGCACACGGCTGTCGCGGTGTACGCAGGCACTGTGGTGTTCACGCGCGCTGTTGTGCACGCGAGCATTGTGGTGTACACAGGCGCTGTAGGCAGGTCGCCACCTAGATGCTGCTCGCGTCGTCGTCGTCGTCGCCCGCCGCTCGTCGCTCATCGTCGTCGTGCGCGCGGGCGCGGCTGTGGTGCCGGAGCCACACGGTGGGGGGGGGTCGTTTCATTATCCCTTCCCCTGGCCCCCCCCCTATAACGCCCGCTATCGCCAAAAAAAGAAACGCGCTCGTCAGCCCGCATACTGAGGATGGGCAGTCTTCTCAAGGGTGCCCTCCTTGCCCTTCGGCCCATCCGTATCCGCTGTCGCTGGCCGCGCCCCGCCCGCAAAGTGTCGACGTGGCCTTCCAATGTCCTCGCATCCTTATCGTGCGTCCTTATGACACGGTTAAGTCGGGCCTGTCCCTCTACAGGGGGAATATTCAAAAATAGTCAACAAAATAGTATGAGGATTATTTTTTTGATTATTTGTTGACCATTTTGGAGTACGTTTTGAGTATTCTCTATTTTTCGTCGAGAAACCCCTTGTAGCGGGACACGCCCGACTTAATGACATGGGTTGATTGTACTCTCTCTCTCTCTCTCTCTCTCTCTCCCCCCCCCTCAGGAGGACGTCCCGAGAGTCGCGCGCCCTCCTCCGCGTGCTGTCTGTTTCCCAGCAGGGCTGGCACGAGTTGCTCTTTCGTTTCGTGAGTGCTGTGTCAATCCGAGCGTTTTCCGTCCCTCGCAAAGTGCCTACTCGCAGACGTCCGCCCCCCCCCAAAAAATGTCTTCTTCTATGCAGTGTGCCGTAAGTTCCCCGCGGCGGATCCAGGCAATTTGCGAGTAGTTACTTTGTGCGAGTAGTGGAGCGCGCGTGTCCAAACATGGCGTTCCCGCTGCATCTTGAGCTTCATTTTCGGATCGGCCCTTTGCTCTCATCGTTCAGAATGTCGCGCTTGCCCAGAGCGCGGGGCTCTTTTTCCGAATCCGGGCTATTCCTCGTCGTTGTCTCCCCGCTCCTTTCCTCCACCTTCCCCTTGTCCTCCTGCTCCTCCCACTCCTGCTCCTGCTGCTGCTGTGTCTCCTCGGCGAAAGGCGAAAGTCCGATCGAGCGCCCAAGGACGTCTTGTCCCGCTTGCGGGAACTGCATGCTCCATGCAGAAAGAGGAACACATGCAACGGAAGCATGCAACTCATGATCACACCCCTCGCGCGCTGCTACACAATTGCTCGCACGTGTGACAAATACTCAACCAAAACATTTTTCGCCAACCTACCAGGAGCGTCGTACGAAACACGCTCCAAGCTAGTGTTGAAGCGATCTCGGAAGAATGTTCGATTGAATCGTTCCACTTCGTTCTCGGACGGCCTATTCTACACGAACTTGTCTGGACGCCAGCGCAACAATACAGATGACCACCCGTGCCTCTCGGCACAGATTCTACACACGATTTTCCAAAGATTAGTGTCCATTACCTCGAGCCAGTCTGGCATTCTGTTAGTCGTCATTACTCGTGCTACTCTGCGCTTACATTGACGCCCAGCCTCCTCCCAAGACTCGTGATCAGCTTTGCGAAATCCAACGGTACTTCGTAGCATTTGCGCCCGGACACAGGGTATTCTCGTTCTTTGTCGTGTCGTCAACGGTGTTGTGGCCAGTCTGTACACGGCGGTCGGCGTGACGCCTGCCGAGCAATTTCAAGTGCATCTTCAGCGACACGCGTGTGTGAATGAAAGTTGCCTTGAACAAATGCAACTTGGACCATGCACATTGCATCCGGTACTCTAGATTGCACGAGCCACGTTCTCGGAGATCTCCGTGGAAGCGTTTCTCCAGGTACTGTTGCAGGCATGTTTCCACCATACCCGGCAAACTGCAATCACCTACTTCCAGTAGCGTGGGTTCTTCGAGTGAAGCAATATCAGGGTCATGTGTGACTACGTTGGTCTTGCTCGCAGTTAGCTCTAGATCGCTTTGGGACAATTCTTGGCGGACAGCGGCAGGCATGCGGGAAACGTCTTCTTGAGAAACGCCGTGAATAAGTATGTCGTTAGCACAGCGCACGATGGTCACCGAGGTCGAGACCCATGCCTTGAACGCGGTCTTTGAATCGACGCAAGGCTTAGTCAAGACTCGCGTTGAAAAGGAGTGAGTTCCACAAACGATCCCTCCCTTGACCTCCCGGCTGATGTTCCTTGTCGTCCTTCTCTTTCATCCTTCTCTTCTTCCTGCTCATCCTCCAGCTCATCCGCCACCTCCTCGCAGCGAGCTCGCCTCTGCGAAGGGCCTTGGCAGTTCCCTCGATA